TCAATCACAGTGAAGTGGCCTCATTGTGATTAGTCCACTAAGGTCCGTATTAATAGTCATTACTTAAAACTTTCAAGTAAGATACTCAGATTTCAATTTAGAGTTAGATGAGCTTTTCAGTTGAATCGTGATTATAAATATAAATACCACACTTATCATAATTTAACTAAAGAACTTGGATCTGACTAAAAATCTGAGTATTTCATCTGAGACAAGTTTTAAGTAACAACTATTAATACGGACCTAAGAGTCGAGTTTTATCGAAAAATAATTTAAGATTTTAAATGCCACAAAATATGGAGTTGGAAGCTTATTAGAGTTTAGCTGCTCATAATTTGATTTAATAATTTCATGGAAATTCGTAGAAATTTATAGAATTTCGAGCAGAATCTTATATACAATCAATAAAATAAACCGATTATTTTATCGAAAATAAACGATTTATTTTGCTTGAAATATGGCAAACTTTAATTTAAAACGTTATTCAGAATATTTGCCAGGAATATCTTAAGATCTTACACTGCGGGTCGGTCAGGTCGATCGGTTTCGATTCTGTTTGAATTCTACGGCGCGCGCGGGCGCACGCGAGCGAGCGCGGAATCCTCCCCGGTGTGCTCGATTTAAATGAATAAAAACGCTTCGATCTCTCTGTCTATCTCTCTCCGTTTTTTTCTCGTTTATCGCGACGGATAAATCGCGTGCGCGCGCGTTCGCGGAGGTCGCGGCGCGATAGAGAAAGGGCGAAATGCATTTGGAAAGTATCGCGTACGCGCCATTGATATCCGCAATGTCCATTTCTCTTTTGACGCCGCCAGTCACGAAGAATTTATGCCCCACGGTGGAATTCCCGTACGGCCGCGTATTTCACTGAAAATCGTCGGTTCGTCACGCTGACGTGTGCCATCAAAGTGGGAGTTCAGCGGTGCCATTAAATTCTGATTAAATTTTGATTAAATCCCGGAACTCCGGACCCGGGCGCGCCCGTACAAAAGGCATCGACCTATTTGCAACGCGATCGGATCGTATCGTGCTTTTTTCTCGCCGAGCGCAGAGAAGGATAACGCGTCGGGATTTTGACGCGCGTGTCACTAAAAATTTTATAAAGCTCGCTGCGTAGAAAAATTTAATCAAGGATCATGGCCGCGCTGCGATCGCAAACGCGAATATTCGCTCTCTTTTTTCTTGCTTTCTTTATTCTCTCTTTTTATCTCTCTCTTTCTCTCTGAATTCTCTCGGACGAGGCTGAAAGTATTTCAAAATTTGCAGCGCGACAACGTTTTCGCCGTGGGAATGTGAGCGGCGCAAATTAGATATCTTGTTTCGATGCCCAGAGTGAGCGACACAGTAGCTCTCAGTGGTCGTGTTACAGACGCACAAATTCATCAAAACGCACGCGTTCAATATCGTTCAGCTATCGCGATGCTTATCAAGTGCACTCCGTAAAAGGACTCCGCGAACCGTGAATCTCAGTCACAACGTGTCGCCTTCCTGTAGTCGAATGACCCGGCCTTTCATTTCAGTCAGCGTTTTATTGATCTAATTGTACGCGGCAATCGATCGTGGGAGGGAGATGAGGGAGAGAGCAACGAGAGAGATAAAGAGAGAGAAAGAGAGGGAGAGAGAGAGAGGCGACGCAGAAGTAGTTCCGCCGATACTTCTGGAGGCATTCCTGCAATCGACGGGTCAAACCGTGTCAAAAGCCCTTAGAAATGCTGACGGCATCTGATATCGTCGCTGTGGAGGCTTCGCTCAGGAACTGCCTCCCTCTCTTTTCATCTCTCCCGCAGTACCGCAGATTTACGAGCGAGTGTTTGAGAGACACTGTCCAGACGGAAACTAGGTCCCACGTGCTATGAGAGCTTGGTGGCTTGTGCGGGGGTGCACGAGCGTACGTGTGTTTGTGTGTATGTGTGTGTGTGTGTGCGCGCGCGCGTTTGTATGGAAGTATACATATATGCACATATGTGCATCTAAACGTCCTATCGATTCGGCGAGATGGCCATTGCATTTCAATAACAGGCGCATAGATGGACTTCGTTCCATATACGGGGTGTACTTTGTATTCGTGGCTCGGCGGTCGTCTGTAACGGCTACTGTATACGTTATGTGGCTTGTGAGGATCATTATGGTTCACGAAGCTGTACGAGCCCTCGGCGTTAAAAGTGTGTTTAGGTTGTTGCATAGTTTCCATCGTATTCTTGGGTAACATTGATATAATTTTGAAAAGAGAAATTCATTTAATTGACAACACATCGGGGTCGTTATCGTCTACAATCTGTAAAGGTAGCGTGCAGTCAAACTAGCAGCGCAGTTAAAAAACAGAGCTGATAATAATTTATTGTGCGTCGATGACAAGCGCACGACATACGGCAGGAATCACGCAACGACCCAACGGAATCTTAAAAGCGCTACCGCTTCGAGGAGTAGCGCGGCGTGCCGAGAGAAGCAAAATGCTTTGTTGTGGAAACGTGACTGACGAAGTCGCGATTGGCGATTTCCGACACCCTGAAGTCAATTGACGTCCTCCCTTTGTCGAATCGCGACGAGGCGCGTGCGCTTTTACCAACGCGACGTTATCCTCAGCTCTATCAGCGTCTGCGTCCGCAATCACGTCCGCGTGGTCGATGAAAGGTCCCAGAGAGGAAGGTAGGAGGAATAAATATCCCCGCCGATGAGTTTCGATATTAAAATATTCGGCGGAGGTCACCTTTCTCTCTATAGCCGACGAAACCGCCCGGTCCCTCTCGGCAATCTCGAATTACGCTCAATGTCGATAACGCGCGCGAGATGGGAGTGCCCCGAAGAGGGAATCAATCGCGAATGTGACGAATATTAGGCCATTACGTCGGATTGAGGAAGGCGCCCATTGTGCCGTCGCTCTGGGTCGACTGAGCGCGACCGTTTTCCTGCGAAAAACCCGGAGAAATCACTTCGCGAGCAGCCGCCGCGCTCTCCCCGCCGAGGGACACAATGGCGGAAGCTGATCCAGATAGTTACGACGATTGAATACGAGCGGATAAGAGTGTAGAGAAAGAGAGAGAAAGAGAAAAAAGAAACACGCTGAAATTTACCGCCAAAGCCGCAGCGGCGCATCATTCAACGCGGCAACTAACTGCTGCTTGCTCCTCTTGCTGCATTCCTCGCGACGATTCACTAACAAATCGTTGATTTCCCATGCGGTTCCCGGCCTCCGTTTGTTTTGGGGCTTATGGAAATGCACCGCGGGGCCGGTATAATTCAATTTCATCCTGAGAGTGTAACATCGGGGGGGAGGAGGAGGAGGAGGCAGCGGGGGGAATCGATATCGGTGGCCCTGTCCCGTTTTAACGGATGCGTCGAGTTGCCTCTCTCCCTCTCTTTCTGTCGTTCTCTGAGCGCGATAAAATCCACCCTCTTCGAATGTACGAGCATCCCCGAGTGCAACCGCACACCGCGAGAGAGAACATCTCTGTCAGTTATTAGACTGTGCCAATTAAAGCGGACAGCGCGATCCGAGCCGCGGCGAAATCGAAGGATGCCGAGGTGGAAGATAATCCCGATTCGCGGCGATTTCAAGTCGACAGAATGATTGCGCGCGCGACCTCTCGTCGGCTGATGAGGTGTAAGAGAAGAGAGGGAAAGCGAGGAAGTGAGAAGTGAAGGAATGAGAAATGAGAGAATGAGAAATGAGGTCGTGAAGGAGTGAGAACGTGATGAGGGAGTGAGAAGTGAAGGAGTAAGAGAATGAGTGAGTAAGTGAAAGAGTATTGGAATGAGGGAGTGAGAAATGAGGAAATAAGTGAGTGAGCGAAAGAGTATTGGAGTGAAAGAGTGAGGAATGAGTGTGAGCGCGAGAAAAGTGAGGAAATAGGAGAGTGTAAAGAGTAAGGAGAGAAGGAAAGGGAGAGAGTGAGAGATAGAGGGAAAGAAAGGGAGGATAAGGAAAAGGAGACGGCGGGGAGAAACGCGGCGGATGAGTGAGTTTACATCGGCAGATAAATCAAGGCAGTATGCGGCGGATCCATTTATCCTTTCCGCAATAACGTAAAAAACCACGTAGGGACACTCACGTGTTGCGGCGGAAGGCCGCGTCTCCATCGCCTGGCCGACCGACTTTCGAAATTACTTTTCGATAAATCGCGCTGCGAGAAATTGCGTTTTTCAAGCTGCTTCGCGCGACAGGGTATCATTCCTCTCCTCCTCCCATATCCCGCTCGCGCCAGGGATTATAACTCGTTCCACGGTATTGTTGCCGACGCGCAGCGGGGGCGTTGTAATTCTCCTCGCGCCGGCGTTCCGGCGCGTCGACCGGGAAGATTCTCTTCTCTGCGTAACGTCTGATCTTACGTCCCGTTGGCACGCATCGGCGCGCTCGCGTGGGAAACTAGACAACAAAGCCCCCGTACTCGCGCCGCTGAGGCATTGCTCGATTCTCGTCTGATCTGAGAATTGTGCGCAAGTTACAGCAGCGGGAGAAAGACCGCGGGGGATAATTAGATTTTAACGTTGCTCGTGGGAGCCTCAGTAAGCTATTTCATACACTTATTCGAGAAATCATTCCGATTCGGGAAATTTTTCGAATTTCGGTATGATGCGCGTTTACCAAAAGTAAGCGCGAGGAAAGCGTAATCAGAGACAGAAGACATCTTTAAAATAAAATATAAACACACGCGATAAAGAAAAGAAGAGCTGCACGCAATGGAGTCTCCTCTGAATTTTCGCGACGCATCGGAGAGTATGAACAGTACCTCCAGCCGCATTCGCCGCGGTTGTCCGGCTTTACAAGTTCGATTAACGTGCAACGCGCCAGCGGATCGCGTCGCCAGGTAAACTTGCGGCGCGAGGGTCGAACGTTTAGCCGGCTCTGTCGCCGAACGGGGTGAGTGGCTGCTGCTCTGCTACCACCGGCTAAAGAGCACGCGGCTCTCTCAGGCAGCCGTTGGATGTAAGTTTATCCTCGGGAGATGAGAGCGGCGAATCCGGCGGATTTGTTTCGGGGACGAAGTCCCAATGTTACTCACCTAGTAGCCAGATCCCGATGAACGAAGTTCAGGTTCTCCAGATACCGCATGCCCGACGCGATCTGCGCCGCCATGTAGATGAGACAGTTGAAACTGAAACGACGACGGAAGTGGCGTGAGTTAGCCTGCGACGAAAGTTAAGGTATTCGCGAGAATCCCACCCGACCCGACCGCCGTCCTCGTCGTCGTCGGCGTGGGATTCCACCGCCCGCCCAGGTGCGGGTCGAGAGTACCGAGAGAGACAGAGAGAAAGAGAGAGAATCCAAGTGGCAGAGAGCTGTCTCCGAGCTTCAGCCGTGTCGCTCACGATTAATAAACGCGTCAAACTCGCGCCCCGGAGAAACTTATTGCGTGTTAACTCTCCGACTCGCGACGGCGCTTCGTCGGAAATGAAACCGAGCCCGGGCTCGTTAGAGACGATTGCGGTGCTACGGCAGCCCCGTAATCCCGAATACTTTAAGCCCCGGTAACGACGCGGCACGTCGCATTACGCACTCCGATGTAACTATATATAGACAAGCAGACGCACCTGTATGTATCACCAATACTCCACGAGGAGGCCCAATGAATAGCTGAACTTCTCTCTCTCTCTCTCTCTCTCTCTCGAGCTCGTAAAACCGATACCGCGGAGGGGGAGGGGGTACCGGTATTTTCACTCTCCCTTTCTCTCGTAAAAGAGTCGCAATGAGGTTGTAACAGAGTCATGGCGCTGTTACTCCGACTTCGAGACGGTGTTTCACGCTTCTGCATGAAATTGTTCGCGGCTTTATGTTCCTGAGCGAAATAACGTGGTAACGCGCGATCAGCCGGTGTGAAGTTGGCACTTCGATTGAGTACGATACATAAACTGTTCTAGAAGTAATCTCTTTTTAAACGCTAAAAGTGTGGTACTAACAGTGTTTGGTCAGCAGAACGATTTTCCTCGCGATTTGTCGTACACGAAAATTTCATGGAATTAAACAGTCTCTGATTACTACACTAAGCTTGCACCTTGAGAGAAAAATATCTATTCTTGGTGGGTATTAATAAGATACTAAATTATACTAGTATGTGAAATGTTTTTCAAAAGAGAAAACACACGTTTTCTTGAAAGCTCAGTTATTCATGAAAGCAACTGTTTCTTTTACTTATTATTAAACAGGAGAATTTCGCGATTTGAGCAAGTATGTTATTAGCATCCACCAAATAAGTACTTTTTCTCTCAATGCATATCAAAGAGTGTAAACTTGAATATTAAGATCGCGGATATTTTCTTCAAAAGAGGCCAAATTCCTATAAGCCATTGGCCCAGATTCATCAAGAAGTTTTGAAATCAAAAGTTTTGTAATCACGCAGACAAATAACCACTATAAATTATGGTCAAGAGGACCGTTTTTTAAATTAAACTTTATTATAATGCTAATGATAATAACTTGATGTGCATCTTATTGCTAGCAAGTTGGGGCCAAAGATAACTAAACAATAGTTGGATCAACTATTTTTTCTCTCAGCAGAGGGAAGCATCGACAATCTGTAACGTGTAGAGCACTTATCTCCGGGCGTATGCATTCGACGGTTTTTTATCGTTGTCACGAGGAAATCGGCAGACGAGCGCGCGCGCGAGCTGGAATTTATAATAGCTGTCAGCGCACTTCGGTAATTACCGTAAACACGGGATCGCAGATTCCTTGTGCGACATCGACGCTCGCGAGAGAGAACGAGGGAAACAGGGGGAAGAGAACCAATCGCTCTGTCGTCGTAATAAATAATACCCCGGCGGTCGGTCGCGGAGAACGAAAATTTTCATATTTCCCGTAACAGTAATATTGATTTTGAGCTTATGTACGGCTACGCTACTCTATGCGTAGCACGACGACTTTTTGCCGGTTTTATTTGCGAAGGGTACTCCAATTTGATATTTTTCGAAGATACTGTACGCTTTTATTTGGAAACGTTCAATTTCCGCGACGCGGTAGTTACACGAAACATCCTGCGCGCGTGCCGTTTTTTTCTTTTTTTCGTTCGGAAAAAAAACGACAGCGAATGTTTTAATAAACAGCGCCCGGGTCGCTCTATCAATGAAATAACAAGTTAGCAGAAAAATAATTGAAGGCAATATCGATTGTGTGCCCCATTCAAAAGGACAAAAACATTGGGAATTTAATGATTTCCAAACTCCTGCGAATATCTCTCTTTCCCGATCTTTTCTCTCGCCTGGAGATATTTATTAACGAGTACTCATTAATATCGAAATGAACGAGGGAGTTTCGAAGGAAAGAGTGAAAAAATTTAAGCATAATGAGGGAGAAAGGAGGAAGAGCTTACCCGCGTTAATTCACGTTAAGGATTAACGTTAAGCCACGTCATTAGCTGAACTCACCTAAGTGTCTTGACGCCAATCGGCATGGAATGCGCGTCCTCAGCAGTGATATGCGTCTTGAGGAACTGACAGAGATCCCCGTGTTCTAGGTATTCCATCACCACGCAGTACGGCTCCTCGCGATAACAGGCGCCCAGGACACGTGCGATATTGCGATCTTCCAGAGCGGCCAAGATCCTCACGTCCCTTTGGAAGTCCAACCTGTTCAATCGTGTCTCTTGTTGGTGAGTTGAGTCAAAATTATCGACACCAATGCGCATTACGATTGCGCGAAGCTTTCGTAACTACACTGCTCGAACTAACTGGGGTTCCGATCCTTGCATTTTCCTTTTCTTTGTTTCTCCGTCGTCATTGTCGCGTCAGGAATTGCGTCACGTTACAAAGACGATGAAGACGCGTTGCGTTTCGCAGCGAACGCAAGCGCAATTTTGATATGTTGATTGCGTTCTCTTGGATTGTACACAAAAGCTCAACTAATGATCGAATTATCAAAAAAAGTAACAATGGTCAGCAGAACGAATTTCCTCGCGATTTGTCGTACACGAAAATTTCATGGAAAATTTCGTGGAATTAAACGGTCTCTGATTACTATACTTGCATCTTGAGAGAAAAATATCTATTCTTAGTGGATATTAATATACTATGTAGTAGCAATATACTACTAGGTATTAATATACAATGTAGTATGTATAAATAAGTATTCCAGATTGTATCTTATTGGCTCTGTATTGGCTGTGCAATCGATCAATACTTCATGTTGTTGTTGTTATTCAATGGTTTTGGAGCCAGGTCCATTAACCAAATATTACTAATAAATCTTCTTCGATAAAACCGAATATTCCCATCAATACTTCATACGTAACTTAATGAGACGCGGTGGTGCAAAAACTTGAGTGATACTTGAATTAACACAGTAAATAAATGAGTACATTTGAGTTTTTTGCCTCTCCTTTCTCTCATTGATTTCCTGTTGATCATACAACTGATCTCTCAAATGCAATTAATCAATATTTCATACATAATTTAATGAGATATGCATCGTTATAGAACAGCCGGTGACCGTGCTGCAGTATTCAACATGTTAACACAATGACAAGTCTACCTTAAAAAAGGAGATATAAGTGCGAGAGACACGTGTGAAATATCAGGACGACGCGGAGTAAAATTCGATATCGCCGCGAAGAGTCGGCCGCCCGGGAGAGTCATCGACGTCCATCTCGCGATAATGACTCTCGTATCGCGCTGCACTTTCTGCATTCCGGCGTGGAGGCTCGTACGGACGTTGTTAACGGCGGCGGCATGGCATGGCGTCCGTTTCGTTGGATCGCCACAGCACTTCCGGATAAGGGAAGTTCGCGTAATCCCTACTCGCCGTTATTTGGATATATATACACACACACGCATACACTCACTCGTCGTACGTGGGCCATCGCGCCCGTTACTCCAGGCTTACTTACGATCGACTTGGTAATGGCAACTCCGCGCGTGATAGCTTAATGCGGTCGTTAACAAAAGTACAGGCCGGCCCGACGCCTATCGATTCGCCATAAACTGCGGATCCCGCGGTGCGTGCGATTGTCGCGCGCACGCCACTTCGGAGCAAGAGAGGAGAAGAGAGAGAGAGAAGTACGTTGTTGTCGTTAAGCGCTACATGCGAAATAGCCCGTTTAACGGTACCACTGACCCTAAGGCAGCTTAATGACGTCGCATTAGTCGAAAGTTCGCAATTCGCGGTTCAATTTCCCTCCTCTCCTTCTTCCCCTTGTTCCCTTTCTCGCCCTCTCTCTTTCTCTCATGGCACCGGCTTCGACAGCAGTTACACGGCCGACTGTTTCCGATTCCGCGATGATGACGGTGCCGCGAACGCGCAGTCGGAACTTCGATTTGCCGGGGCGATTGCGACTCGGGGATAGCACCCTTCAGGTGTTTCCGGTTATTCTGATCCGTGGTAGTAAGCTTACAGATACGGCGAGATATTGCCGCAGGTTACACGCGCGTATCGCGAAAGACTAATTGAGACTTCAGTCGTAATTATAATGCATTGAGTCCTTTCGCGAAAGACGAATCACGTTTGTCGTTGAATTTGACAGGAATAATTCTGCAAGAGCGCATAAGAGCGCACGGCGAAATCTCGTCATCGGTCACGTGGTCTTGGCAACGCGGGAGCGATCCATCTGCCGTCCGTCCAGGCGTGCGCTTCGAGTGAGCGCAAACCGGCGCGTTAGTTTGAATAAAGCGTCAGCGCCGTGGCGCGTGATACCAGGCCTGACGCATAAAATACACCTTATCTGCCGTCAACACGACGCGATGGCCGCTTCCCTTGTTTATAATCGTCCCCAGAGAGGACATCTCCGCGGATCGCAAAACGCGCGAGAGCAGGTGGACAAAGCATGCGTGCGTGCGACGAATCCTGCGCGCGGGAAAAGTGACACGCGACCCTCGATCGACCTATCGCCACTTCCCCGAGATGAGAGATAACTGATAAATAACGACCACCGTGTCTGACTGCACTAAGAGGAAAAGTAAGAAATAAAAAATGTCGAATATATATATAACACATTTACTCATATCAATATATAAAATATTTTTTTAAATAAAAAAAAATCTTCCTGAAATCTTAGCTTTTCATGAAAGCAAATGTTTATTTTATTTCTGAATAAAAAATGTAGATTTAAATTTGTTGTTGATATCTACCGCGAATAATTTTTTTCCAGATATTTTTTCTCTCATAGTTTTATCACTAATATAACATATCTTTCAAATAGAGAAATATATATTTTCTTAAAATATTCCTTAACTTTTTCGTGAAAGCAATTGCTTATTCTATTTTTCAATAAAATATTTAGATTTAAATGTGTGGTTGATACCTACCGCGAATAAATATTTTTTATTTCCTAGATATTTTTTCTCTCGGTGTGTGTATAGAACGTAATCTGTTTCATGCAACGAATTAAAATTTTAAAGCAAATTTTTGGACGAATTAAATTGTTTAAGGCAAAAGTAATTAAATGAAAATTTCAAACTACATGGAAAAGAAAGTTTGGATGAAACAATTTCTGGTAAATATCAACAATTCAGAGATTCCGATTGAAATGATCAGAATTCCGTTCAAGTTAGTCAGAAATCTTGACAATTGATTGAATTCGAAGAACTTCCGAGTCGTTTATACCTCACCAGAAATTGGTCCATCCAATCAGACTTTTCCGACCAAACTTTAAATTAAGATCAAACAAACTAGACAGCGGGCTATTTCTCATGTCTCGCGTGCGTAAAAGTGCGGCAGGGGGGGTGGGGGTGGTTCGCAGTCGTCTCGGAGCAGCAGCAGCTGCTCGCGGCGAGGGTGAGTCTCACGACGACGTCTGCAGTCACGAGACGCTATAAGTCATCCGCGCGATAGGGGACTTGTTGCGTGAGCCAGACACGTCGAGCTCTTTCGCGGGGATATCTTTCGGCGTATTCCGCGCGGGTAAAATACGGGGAGGCTACACCGCCGCCGCGCCCTAGCAGATTGCGGAATGAGTCGCGCGATTGTTTCCCCTCCGCGGACGTATTCTCGGGGGCACTCGGGGGCTCCAAGTTTTCACCGCAAAGGTATCGAGGCATCCCTATCACACCCCCTGATGCTGTTGTTCCAAGCACACACGACTTTGAGGCGAGCTGAGACCTCGGGAAGCCGAGGCCCAGAATTTAAACAAAAGCATTAACACGTTAACTGCTCGACGTTGTAATATTACTATAATAATAATAATATTATTATCATTATATTATGCGCTACAATATTATTATTATTGTAATAATATCGTTATAATACTGCCACATTCTATTAATTCATGTATAAATTCACTTCTCTCGTGTAACAAATGAAATTCTTAAACAGGCTCGAGGCTGGTTAAATTAATATTAAACTCAAAACTGATTAAATTGCATTTATTTACCGTATCTTTGGTAATAGGAACTTTAGTTGGTCATTGGAATAATCCATGAAAATTAACGCGCAGTGTTGGGCATCGGTCGATTTAAGTATTCTTCGACTAAAATAATCGGGAAATCAATAATCGAAACGAATTAATCGTCATATATGAAGTCACAAATAATCTCGTCGATTGGAATTAATTATTAATCAAACCTTGTTGTAATTGATTACACAGTGGTTAATAGCTGATCTCATTAATCGATGAAATTATTTGTAACTATACATGACGACGCGTACTTAAAATTACTTGTAAAATACAACGTAAACTGCGCTTTTTCCTTAACAATAAATAGCCGCAAAATTAATGGCATGCAAGCTTTGTCTTTAACAGTCCTCATGATTTTGCCACTATTTATCAACTATCAAGGGAAAAGAACAGTTTCCGGAACATTCTACAAGTATGCTCAAGCAACCTGAAGTGTTCTTTCGCAAATATAGTTTCATCTGGGGATGGTACGCAGGAATTTTCGTGCCATTCCTCGCTCCTGATGTCATAATCCAACATGGTCGCGGCGAGTGCCCAGGAGCCTTAATGCCCAACACTGTCAGCGCGGGGTCTGCGTGTCGATGATCAGTGATACCATGGAGAGACCCACGGGACGGGAGTCGATCATGCGAAAACTTGATTACTCCGCGGATCCTTGTCGCGACATTGGCGTCCGCCACGGAACGTCGCGTCGCGTCGTGACGCAATTCATCGCACTAAGGGGCGTACGCTAAATCAAGCGAATTGCTCGCTATTCTGACCCGCGTCTTGCCAGACGTCCGACAGATTACCGCACGAGATTGTCGACGAAATTTCTCTTGGAACTCGAGACGCGAAGAGGAGCGCGGGCCTCAGTGCCGGGTATATTCGATGGCGGGTCGTCGATTTTCGTCGCCGCTCATCGGAAGGAAGCTTTGTCATCTCCGTTACGAGGTGTCCCGCCCGTCCCGCGCGTCGGCTCTCGCACAGGAGAGCGCCGGAGAAGAGAGAGAGAGAGAGAAAGAGAGTCCCGAATCCCCGATACCCTATCTCTCCCGGTCATTGTATGCAAATCCGTTCCATTCGTGGAATCGAACTGGCCTTTTTCTGATGTCTGACGCGATAGCCGCGCGAACGATCGTCCGAGAACGGTATATCCGGACATTTCGCCGCCGCGGGGCTTCCTCTCCTCGGCGAGAACGCCGCGACGCGGGACGTCGCGCGCACCGCCGGGGAAACACGGCTCTCTTTCTCTCTTTCCTCTCTCTATCTCTTTCGGGCTTCAAATCCGATGTATCTCGTTGCCGGGAGAAACGCGGCCCCGGCCGACCGCGCATAATTTAGCCGCCCCCTCTTCGGCTGTCGCATTTTTGCGCACGTACATTCTGTCCTGTTCGTGGCCCGAATCTCGTTTTCGATCTCGCGGCGAGACGCGTTCTCCTGCTCCTCCTTCTCCTCTTCCTCTTCCTCCTTTTCACGACGATCTCGGCCACGAAGACGGTCGGGACAGCCGAACCGTCGAATGGTCGTAGCTATTCGGCTGTTTGAGTTGCGAATTTTTGCGAGAAATAGGCTGGAAGGGGAGACGCGTGGAAAAATTTCAATCGCGCGGCGCAGACGTAAGAGGTATTCGAGGAACGCGCCTTGTTTATTTCGGCAGACCCGGAGCATCGCGGATTGGGGGCCGTGATGGTTTCCGAAAAATTGCCAGCCGCCAATTACTGTGTCCGCAAAACGCGCCGACCGAATAGCTTTAACGCGTGGTATAACGAGGTTATTCGAGATTTTTTCACTTTATATATATTATTGATTTATTAATTATCGAGTATTCAATGTGGTGGGAACGATTACTGTCAAATCAGTCATTTGTCACTGTGACAGTTTTACGTTAATATGCATAAATGAATATGTCACGGTGATGAAATATATTACCGACTTAATTACACCGCGTGTTAAGGATATCCCGCTAATTAGTACATACCCTAGACATTAAGGTTAGCGCAAAAATATTACAAAAAAACGCAAACATTAAGACTCCAGCAGTGAGCGGATCAGCTGATCACATTCAGGAATGACCAAGAAAGTAACATTAATTGAATACTAGACCAATATAAGCAAAGTCAAATTGATCGATTCGCTTGGGAGTTTCACTGATTTCTCCTTTCTCTGCCGATTTTCCATTTTCCTCTGACTCTAATGAGTATAAGAAAGCCGAGATCGAACGTGCGTCTTCGTCCTTTATAACCGATCAACTTGTCGATTTGAATCGCGTTTTATTTCTTGTCGTTTTATCGGTTTCGTGCGCTCGCGAAGAAGCAACTCACGATCTGCCGGTCGACGTAAAATTGCGAGCGCACGTCTCCCCACGGCTGTAAAAGGTTTATCGTCGCGCACGTGGGGGGAGGATGGACAATGCCTCCAGAGGAGGAAGAGGCATGCACGCTCGATCGAGCGTCGCCGTAACGAAACAGAATGCAAATTGCGGCCGCCGTATAGACGTGTGTATACTCACTTTTCCTTCTCGCTGGCTTCCGGCAGTAAAAACTTGACGGCGACGAGTCGCTTGCCGAGGGTGGTCGTCGTGCCGTACTCCGGTATCCCTTCAGCTTCCGCCACGTACACCTTTATGAGCATAATTCGTTTGAATCGTGCGTGTACTACACGTGTCCACGCGCGTGGAGAGAAACCGCCGTCACAAGCGCGCGCGGCCGAGAGAGATAAATTCGCCGTAAATGAAAGCCGGATTCGCGCCGCAATTTTGCCGTTCACTTTAATGTATTATCTTGTTACTAGAGGAGCTTACGAAGGTTCGTTGTTGAAATTGCCGACTCAAAAGACGAATTCAGACGCGGAATTAGACAAATGTCTGCAAGTGGTGGAAATGACGCGGGCAGATACTTGGATTGAACGTGTGTCTATCTTGTTACTATTCATAGTTAACTATTACTATCAATATTATCAGTAATTAGTGCTATTAATTTGTACTACTAATAGTATTAGTAAGTTGAGTATTGTTAATAGTAACTATTAAAGTCAAATAACAATCCGACCAATTTTCTTTTGCAAGCCCCTGATAATAATTTTCTTAATTACGCAACGAAGGAGAACGCGGCCATGAGAATGTTTCGTTCGCAGAGTCGCAAATGATAACACGCTGCGTGCTCTCCAGCGGACTTTCTCCGCGCACTTTTTCTCGAAATTGTCTCTCAACATCTTCTTCTTCGCGAAAAGTAAGAGACGAGGTTCCCTCTTGCACGCGACACGATAAAATTTAATTAAACATAAGCTAAGACACTCCCGCGCGCCATCTTCTCTCATATTATTGCCCCGAGAGCGGACAGGAGAAAGGGAGAGCTCGTCCAGTCGTCTCGCAATTTTATCCACTTCAAGTAATACCGGATAAGGCAGTATATTCTTTTCATTAACTCGCGCCACGTGAAAATATAGTTCGCTCTAGGGATGAAGAAGGAGAAGCCCGTTGGTTCCGCGACGGTGAACGGAAAAAACCATTTGTTGGATTAACCAGAATATATCTGGTGAGATATGAACGAAGCAGAATTCCGGAATCCTGTTTGAGTTAACAGATCTCTGGTCGACCACAGCTTGGGACAGAATTCTGGAATTTTGTTTCGTTCGCATCTCCTTGGGTGTCATTCCAACCGAATTTCTTTCTCCATATATGTAGGTAGCGTGGATTCTCGTCGCCGGAAGTATGGGATGACCGGTCATCGACGTATGCATCGTGCATCCTCTCGCGATATTACGCGCACAAACAAGCCGGAGCTTCCCGACGGCATTCTTGCTTCTCTCCGTCCGTCGCGGCGAGAAAGACACACGGATTTCGCGTGTCAGTCGAAGATCGACGTGTGCGATCGCGGGAGTTCGTGGGAAGTCACGTATACGTGTCTGTGTGTGTGTGTGTGTGTGCATGCGGGGTGCAATCTGAACGAACGAATGTACGTACGTTCCGACGAGGCCGGGCGTCGTCATTAACGATGCGCCGCTGTCGTGGCGCGCGGGACGGACGGGAAACAAAGGGGAATTATTAGCCGCTCTAACGCATCCTAAACTGATTATCCTCGACGACCCCGACGAGGCGCCATTGTGCCGCCGAAGAATAACGCGCCCCGGGCACTTCGTTAATCGACGTATTGTTGCGCATCCGGCGCGCCCTGAATTGCCGGTGCGCGCTGTGTGCGGCCAACAAACGGATTGATTTCGCGAGATCACCGTCCCGACGCAGCAGAGGAAACGAGGACGCGCCCCGCGCGCGTCAATTCGAACGAGCGTGGGAGCCAGCGCGGCTTGCGAGCGTGTGCATAGGTGCGCGCGATCGCAGCGCTGTTGATAAATTAATTGTTATAACGATGGTAACCGAGTTTCCTGGCTCTCTCTCTCTCTCTCTCCCTCTCTCTCATGTTGTGCATCGCGGAATATCGCGTCCCACGGCTCCGAGGGAAACGCGCAACCCTTTGAGCCTGTACGTGTGTGCATCTCGCCGGTGTGACTCGAGCTGACTTCATGTATTAAGGGCACAAATTGAGCTTCCCAGGTTGAGAAAGCAATTTTTGGGAATTTATATAAAGAAGCTACTGAAGAAATATGTCTTGAATTCTATACGTGTAAGTAATATTTGCGTTTGAACAAAACGATTTATAATTAATTTGGGCGCGAAAATGATGTCGCAGCATTTCTGGTTTGACATGCTTTACGTTTGTGCAATAGTTTGTTCAATCAGGAAAGCGCAATCAGTTTTTTTGTAAAATAGTGTTACAGTTATAGGTTTTCAGGCTGGAATTTTTATTTTAAAACAACTGAATTTTTTGTCTAATTTTAGAGAAGAAACTAGAATTTCTTGTTGAAATTTGCTCTTGTTTTATTTTATATAAGAAATTTTGGAATATAAAATTATTTCACGAAAAATAAAAATAAATTCTGTGTTCCAATGTAGGTATATTATTTAGTCACATGTATAAGATTCAAACATATTCATTGAGTAGTTTTCTTTAAATCAATGAGTTGCATTTATTAACCGTATTTTCGGTGATTGGAACTTATGTTAAGCGTGGGAATGATTAACGGGGAAGTTAGCGCGTTAATAAGAAGCGTGTCATGAAACTAGCAATGAGAGCCTATTCTGGTCTTTCCGAGACGAATCTACTTTAGCGTAGAATATTAATAACGCGGGCTATTCTTGGCGCGGTTCGCGCGGTTGAAATATCGTTGACACTAACTGCGATCGATTAGCGGTAACGGCGGCGTGTCGAGGTCTGTTCGGTACGGCGAGTCTAATTGAAAACATATAGACACGCGCACACACTCGTTTCACGGGCGCAATAATAATGTCATTACCGTTCCGAACGCCCCCTCGGCGAGCTTGGAGAGCATGCGGAGGCGATGCCGTGGGAAGAGCGGTACGCTGGTCTGCTCCAGACGTCTCTTCAGGGCCGAGAGTACCTCCTGTTGAGTCGGCGACTGTAACACACGAAAGCGCAAATGCATTTGTGCGGCTTGGCCGACGATAATCGACGATCTACGATCACGCTAAGTCGCGCGCACCGGGGCGCATCGCGCGGCTATCTCGCGGGATCTACTACCACGGCGTCGTTCGACCGACAACGGCCGACAACTGGCTGGCTGGCTGGTCGGTCAGCTCACCCTTCGATCCTCCTCGCGAATTTCCGAGCGCGAGAGGAGGCCATACGGCGAGACAAGTTTCGCGATCTTAGCGAACGTTCGCTCGTGAACCGTCCTGTCTCGATTCTCGAAGAGACCGACAGACTGAGATGTGGGATGTTAGATAAGACATAGTCGCGCTATTCTCATCGCGAGAGGTACCTTCCCGCTCATCGTAGATTGGTATCTCAGGTGAAATAATATAAAATGGTCGCGCAGCGTGCCGAGTTCTTCGCGGGAGACTTCTTTGCGGAAGTGCTGTCGCGGCGCAATGACATGGTGAGAAGTATGGACGAATGTTAGTTGGTGTTGTGCATGCCTTGAAGATACAGTTATGATTCGCAAATAGCGTGTTGGTCGCGAGAAAAAGATGGTTGATTTCATGCTGATCATAGGTAGAATTTTAGTCGCCTGTTAATAGTTGTTAGTTAAAATTTGTCTCATGTGAGATATTCAAATTTATATTCAGAGCCAGATCCAAGATTTTCAGCTGAATTATGATATACGTGACATTTATATCTGTAATCGTGTGACATCCAAAACGACGCGCCGTTTTCATCTGGATCGGTCACAGGGATGAGTATCGCTCCATGGCGACGTGACGCGACGTTTCGGCCGGAAACATTGACAGTCTCGCCCTCGCGGTTGAGAGCGAGAGTGGAGGGAAGGACAGCCGCGGAGGACGCGGACACCACGCGTACCCATCCGGGCGATCATCCTCCTCGTTCCCGGATAACGGTGAATCCGCGAACGCGCGGAGGAAGGATGATTGGCGTCGCTGCGAAGCGTCAAGGCCAGACCTGACGCGCGACACGGGGGTGAAATGTTTTGACTGTTTCGAGTGGTGCTGTCGGATGTCAATCACGCACAGACGTCTCGACGTGGAGACGGGCACTTTCGAATCTGGAGCGTCCCGCTTGCAGCATTGTGCTCGGATCAATCTCGACTCCACGGCAACCGTACGCAAGTCGCGATACACCAGATGTGTCTATCCACGGGACACACGTGTATCCCCGGCCGCGGAGAAAGGACTCACTCGACGGTGAAGAAGCTGTTCGCATTCATGGCTTCAGCTGCGGGGGAGGGACGCATCGATCGTAGGGTGACGGGACAGAACGCGGGCGCTTATCAAGTGTGTTCCTCCCTTACATTCGCCGACAAGGCCGCGCTGAAATCTCAATCCGCGGAAAAACGAGGCGTGGGGAGGGAGACAGAGAACGGAAGAAAATCGACGGGAAAAAGGGCGAATGAAGGGAGCGACCCTGTCGCTGTCGTGTGAGTAACAAGCGAGACAGAGGTCGCGTTTGCAAAAATCGCAATAAAAGTCGTTGCCGACGCCTGTTTTGGTTTCGCATTAGCGACATACACGAAAAACTGAGACTGAGAGACTGAAAGACTAAGAGACAGAGAGAGAGAGAGAGAGAGAGAGAGAGAGAGAGAGAGAGAGA